ACCATCACAAGAGACTTGGAAATATATTATGAAGGTTGAAAAGTTACCTGTTGTTACTTTAACAACACATATCCGATTGTATTTAATTGCACTGCCATAATCTCGGTCAAAACACAAGTGATAAAAAGCATTACCAAAGTACAAAGAGCAATATAACTGTGAATTTTCATCAGCATAACGATCACTTGATAGTTTTTGAGGTGAATCAACATATGCATAATGATTGATCTGTCACGTCATATAGGCGTATGCATCTCGCATTGTTTATAAATGATATTATTGACAGTGTTGCAAGGAAACACAGATACCGTATTTTCCGCACTATACGGCGCACCGGATTATAAGGCGCACCTTCAATGAATGACCTATTTTAGAACATTTTTCATATATAGGGCGCACCGGATTATAAGGCGCATAAGATACTGCAGTCAAACGTTTGACTGGGTTTGCGTTATGCATCCACTAGATGTCAACAAATGTCAACAAAACAGTCAGATAAAGTCAAACTTTATTAAGCGTTCTGACAACTCCGTTCACTCCCATGGTAACGTTGTTCAAACGTTAAAGGAAAACTCCGGTCAATTTTAACATTGAGCTCATTTTTTGTAAATTTGGAGTGCTGTCAGTACAGATAACAACGACAAAAACCGGTGTTGCCTACACCGTGTTATCCTCTTTTTAATTTGCACCCTGTTGACTTAAACGGGACAAGTTTTAAATCTGCTTTTAGCCTCTAAACAACCTTAATGTGTTATTACAAGTGCACAGCCATGTGAGTGAACACGGTGAATCTGACTGCACATACCCGTATTTTCTTCCTGTTTTCGGTCGAAGTCCACAGTAGGCGATTGTCGAGTGCGCACGCGCGATCATTGGTAACTAAGCAACAGTGGAGACTCAGACTGTTAGCTGTCAGCCGATGACGGTGCTGTGTGGTGTTCTGAGAATATCAGCTCAAATGGATAGTTCATTCGAATCAGATGTTGAACACACGGAGGAGGTTTGATCGTGCGCGCGAACTCGACAATCAACTACTGTGGACTTCGGCCGAAAACAGGAAGTAAATATGGGTGTGTGAGCCGGCTGAATAAAGAGATTATTCCTGCATTCGTGAAAGCTCGGATCACAGTTGAGACTGATATATCAGCCCAGGCATCCACGATCCATTGGCAGATAGTGGCGTAAGTCGCCCGGCGCTGTCTCCGCGTCTTGGTGAACGTGTGTTCACCATCCATATATAAGGCGCTCCGGATAATAAGGCGCACTGTCGTTTTTTGAGAAAATTAAAGGCTTTTAAGTGCGCCTTATAGTGCGGAAAATACGGTACATCCTTTTGTTTTATGTACATTTGCTCACCTGTCTAATAAAGTATATGCAAGAGCGGTGTTGCTCCAAATTAGTCGCGGACATGGAGCTCTCGGCATCTCAAAAACGCCACGCTGATATTGATCCTCATTTTAGTTCTCCTTTTTTGTCCCAAAGTCTGCTTGCCATGGTCCATAATGTTTGAACGAAACAACAACAGCGTGCAGCTAAACGTTACGCTCTACGCAGTTGTCCACGGATGTCGCCATGGTTACGTCATGGCTATGGCAGTACGAGCGGAAACCGAGGAAAGCGAGGATATTGCGTCATTGACAGGCGACATTTTTTTTTCCAGGACGGCCACTTTTTAAAATTGGAATTTCTCTGAAATAAAAAATCTTTGGAGACTTTTGGGATATTGTAAGTACACAACTGCAGGAAATATATCACACTGTGCAAGTGATTTTTGGATATTTTATTACACAATTCCTACATATTGTACCTTTAACCTTACTCATTGATGCATTCATCATTAAAACAATTTAATCTCATTCTGTTTTAAGTGATTCCACTGCTGCCATCAAGAGTAAAATACCTACACTAACATATTCTTTAACAGATGCAATTTTCTAAATTAAAATCAGTGTTAGCACAGATGATGGTTATTTCTGTGGTTGTTTTATGGATTGGTTTACTGTCTTTATATCATAATGCAGTCGGATGTTAGTCTTGGGCCACAAAATGTGTCCATTTTCCTCCTACCGTTCAGTTCCTTCGGGCACAGCACCTCTGCTCTTCCACTTCTTTACAAACCACCGAAAAGCACCAAATGATATCTGATTTAGAAGAGCTGAATATGTTAATGAATACATTAATTAACAAGCATTTACTAACGTGTAGTTAAGATGGTATATTCATGCAGGAATTCATATGACTCATGTCGTAGTTAAGGTTAGTTCTTCATTAGTACATGTCTTAACTCATCATTAGTTCATAGTAAAGTACCGGTAATTATTAATCCAGGTATTAGTTCATGATTATTCATGTACTGTTATTGTAAAGTGTTACCGAATTATTAGTAGGACTATCTTATTACTATCAGTATTGACAATATACAACACATGAGCTGCTGGGTTCATGAATGTTAATTTAGTTGTCAGCGTTCACTCTGATTTGCTGAAATTAAAACAGGGATGAGTGCCATCCAATGAGATTGCCGTGTGCGCATTAGTTCCGCCCACTACCGGAGAAACCGGCATGTCTTCTGCTTGTTCTTAAAAGCTGAATAATTCCAGATGAACTCCTTTATTTTGACAGAAAAATACAAACAAGAATATCGTTTACATGTAGCACGTCGATTTTGAATGGTATGCAAGACTCTCTCTTTGCGTGTGTGTGAGAAACGCGACGGTGAGTTGTGCACCTTCACACTAGAGTTTACGGAACGTCAAATACAGGTACGCTGAACTGAATTTGAAATACTAGTACAGATCGCTTGACGGAGAGCGAAACTCTCAAGCGCTCAGTCAGTGTTCAGCGAGTGAAAATATATCTATGCTAAACTTATCATTGGCATCTAACACACACACACACACACACACACGCGAGTAAAATCTAAGAATTTATTAGCCAATGGCTAATAATATACATTCTTTAGTTGCCCAGAGGGAAATTTACTCGCATTGTAGAGGGTTGATATGGTACCCGCTGATAGCTGGCTGCTTTCAAACACTACCTGTGTATCTGTGGAAGAGATCTGTGAAGCGCGTCAAAGGTTTCAATTTACAATGTATTTTTGAAGCGTTAATCATTGTAGCCAATCACAGACATATCTGTTGACCCGTGTGTGAACACAATGGCCAATCAGAGATGTTTAAGTTAGTCAGAATCCATTCAAAACCACTCAGAAAACTTTGTGAGTTTTCGTTCAACACTCGCTTTAGAGTTCTAATGTGTATATATTAGTGCTGTCAAACGATTAAAATATTTAATCGCGATTAATCGCATTAATGTCATAGTTAACTCGCGATTAATCGCATTTAATCGCACATTTTTATCTATTCTAAATGTCTCTTGATTTCTTTTTGTCCCATTATTTTTTTCTCATTTTAATGCTCTTATCAACATGGAAAAGTGGTTCGGCTTGCTTTGTGCAAATGTTTTTTATTGAAAACAATATTGGCATATACTGTTCAATTTCACACTAAAACATTATCACTTGGAGCAAATAATCTCTCACACAATATAACACTGTCCATCAATAAAAGGGTGAAATAAATACTGACGAGGTCCTGATATTGACGAGGGGGCGGAGAATTCGCATCAGCTGTGTGTGTGTGTGTGTGTGTGTGCTGGCCATCATCAAGTGGTATTCAGACTGGACGTGCTGCGATGATGATAGCTCAGTTCACAACGACAAAACACACAGATCACTTTGGTCTTGTCAATGGAACCATTTGGCAACTTTTTAAAAGTAAACTTTCCATTCAGAATCTTATTGGCATCCATTTCGGCGTCTCACGCTCGTCATCCACTCAAAACTGGACGTTTTGAACGTTCCTATAACATTCAGAAATAACGTTTTTATAACTTAATGGGAACGTTATGAAAACATTCTTATAACCTAAAATTGTTAGCTGGGGAAGAGGAGAGATTCGCGATTGCACTGAACACGTTTTAAGTGCAGGCATATTCTCTGAGTGAGCCCAGAGAAAATTCTTACAAGAGCAGCGTGTATCTGAGAGCGCGCGCGACTCGAGCAGAGAGATTCGTGCTCGGCACATTATATTCCGCGCGCGAGCAGAGAGATTCGCGCTCGCGCATCCGGCTCGCAAGCCCAAACAAGTGTGTGCGGCGTGCCTGTTGTTTTGTTTCCGGTCTAGCTAGATCCGCTTGCGCTTTCAAAACGTCCTCGCGCGCCGCAAGCCATTGAAATGAAAGGGTTTCATAGCGCAGCGGCCCGCATGCCGTCCTGTTGCAAAAGCATGTGAAAAAAAAACTACAAAGTTTGCTAGGCCAAAAAGACCGTTAATCGCGCGATAAAAAAATTAACGCCGTTAAAATGGGTTTGCGTTAACGCCGTTAATAACGCGTTTAACTGACAGCCCTAGTATATATATAAACACACAATTTTTTCCAAGCATCCCATCCCTTTAAAAAACAAAACAGAGCCAGTTATTATTAATTATTACAAAGAAAAACATTTCTTACTTGGAACAACACTACCTGGAAAAAAGTAAATAGTAAAGTAAATATTTACTTCAAACCTTAATGGGTCATCTTTTGAGAAGGGTTAACATTACAAAGAGCAGGAAGATGACTTCAGGATTCAGGTGGCTGAAGTTCCCATGAGGGATTTGCACAGAGAAAAGCAAAACCACATTTAAGCTTTGACCAAAAGACTCAGAGGACTGTTCGTTTACATTCCAGTTGTCCTTTCCCACACACACACAAACCGTCATTTTCTCTCCCACAAGAAGCACATGTCCAAAACCCTTAGCGCTAAAACAACAAGGGGCCAAGACCAGCACATTCCTGCTAGACCATATGAAGAAAGCAAGTCAATCACACATGATTAAACACCCACTCAAGCTCTCTTAGCATTCATGCCACAAACAATTAAACGTGCACATATAAACATTGGAGAAAATGTGTTTTTAAAATATTTCAACTATCCTTTAGTTTGCAACTCTTACTTTTAAAAGAATCCAACTTCTCTGGTAAATCCTCCTCATCCCGGTACTTCTGATCTTCCATAAACTCCTGCAAATAGAGAGAGTGAAAATGTGAGCATGATCTCTAACTGGAAAAGACGGGGTGGATGAATGATTATCAAATGATTATGGTTGTTCTTCCTCATGGCAGAAGACCAGAGTGTGAGCAGAGTGCCGATTCTCCACAATGTAGTTTTATTCTCTAGAACAGTGCCTTTAAAACTTTTTGATGGACACCCAAATATAATGATTCCCTACCTAAACCAAAGACAGCTGTATATCGACATGTATAAAGACCCATATGAGTATGTGGCTACATTGAAAACAACTGATCATTTCATAAGGGGCTTTCACACCAGAGGAACCTTCTCACAGTTCTTATAACTAATAGCAGAAGCACCCACTTTTTGGCGTGTTCACACAACAGGAACTGGGAATGATTTAAGTTCTAGAAACAGGGCTGGATCTAGGCATGGGCAGGGGTGGGCTGAGCCCACCCAAATGTCTGCCTTGCCCACCCAATCAGAATTTAGGCACAGATTGTGTTTTTTTTTTACTGATTTGTGCATTGATTAAAAACAATCTAAGGTGGGCTGTGTGTTAAAGGGGTGATGAACTGAGAAATCAAATTTTCCTTGAGCTTTTGACATTTAAGAGGTCATCAAATTATAAGAATATCCTGTAAGTTTCAGAACTGAAAACGTCCTTGTTAGTCCAATAAAAGCTTTTATTGACACCAGGCTCGGCAAATGACTCGTTTTTCAAAGTGGGGAACTATGACGACAAAGAGGATAAAACACCACCCCCACAGAAGAAGATCAACGCCTACTTCAACACGGCCAGTTTAGCCCCGCCCACCGATTCGCGCATTACACGAAACTCATTATAATATGCAAAACTGTTATCCACTCACAGCAGAGGGCGTTTACTTCCAAGTCTTTAATGCGAGACGCCCATAAAAACCGAGCGTTTTTGAGCTAGGCTCAAAACTAGGGTAGAAAATAGCCTATTACTTATTCATTTTGATGTTTTTGAATGTAAAAAACAAGCGAACGTCATAAGTTGACCTCAGACAACAATATAAAACAATTTAAAAAGCCAGTTCATGACCCCTTTAAGAAGTTTGATAAAGGGCTGAAGAATATCCAACCAATCAAAAAAAAATAACACCAGAACATGGCAGAAGGCTAATTTTCTTTTCTTAGCTTAAAGTAATGGCGAGGGGTGTTATAGAGCTGGTAAGTCCCGCCCATCCGTAAAACTCCAAGTGGACCTCTAGGTTGAAAAAGCGTCAATGCAAGTGAATGAGAGAAAATAATTATTTTCTGATCCCGTTTGAATTGTGCCATGAATGTGAACATATGTTGTCTGTGAATTTTTTATATAATTTCTCATGTAACGAGTTTGACAGTATATTGTATGATTCTTTGGCTAGCAGTTGTGGAATAGACATAACGAGAAAGACTACACGTCGCATATGTGACGTCACCGCATAACACATTTTCCCTCCACAAATCACGGTGCGATAATCTAAGGAATTAGATCGAGATGCCTGTGTGTTTTGTACCCAAATGTCACCATTCAAACAAAGGCATGTTTAGCGGGATCCGTGTGCTAGTGGTGGTGACGTATATCAAACGCGTCGAAAGCAGCGAAGAGTTGTAGTCCACAAAGTGCTCTCACACAAAGTCTACCGTATGAAAATTCTAACCGCTAAATTGTAGCATTCTTTACACGAAACATTATATAAAAAATTCACAGACAACATATGTTCACATTCATTGCAAAATTCAAACGGGATTAGAAAATAATTATTTTCTCTCATTCACTTGCATTGACGATTTTTCAACCTAGAGGTCCAGCGGGGTAAGCGGAAGGGGCGGGACTTACCAGCTCTATACACTCAAGCTACAGTGTGTAGCGGAAAAGCAGAGGCTGACAATCCCATGAGTCAAAACTGGCAGAAATATTTGCATGCTATCAAGGTGCGAATTACGGGGAAATATTAACATACATTTCTACTCTGACTGATTTTAAAGTGTCGTTTGGCTGCCACTAAAATGACCAGTTGAAATTCGCTAGAAAACCTTGCTTATTTAAGAACGTGCATTTATTGCATGGATGTAGTGGTGTGCGATATCACGATTTTTGATCGTGGACGATTAAAATGTCCCCACGATCTGCTTTTGAAGAAATATCGTAGTATCGTGCTACAGCATTCTATCAGTTGCAGTTCTGGCGTCTCCGTCTCAACGTACTGTACAATGCGACGTACATATGTTAACGCAGAGTTAGAGTTACACTGCAATTCACAAAAGTTCATTATTTCCATGTGCTTAAAAGCCTTGCCGGTTAAACATTTCATTTGCGTGCTGATGCGCTGTTCTAACATACGCTTTTCTGAGCACATACACTAAAAATCCTGTCAAACAGCACCTGGTTACTGGACTTAGTTATCTTTCGAGTTTATTGGGTTAATACTGTCAAATACACACAAGGTTTACATAAACACAGTTGGTTAAGTCTAAAGTGAAAGCAAACATTTGAGAGAAAATCGGGTGCGTGACTTATGCATGAATATTCAATGCGTGCCGGTCTTAAAGTGTTAGTAGCCTCATAGTAAATATGCTGCCGCTTGTCCTTAAAGGGATAGTTCACCCAAAAATGAAAATTCTGTCATTATTTACTCACTCTAAAGTTGTTCCAAACCTGTATTAATTTCTTTCTTGTGAATGCAAAAGATGATATTTTGAAGAATGTGGCTATCCAAAACAGTATCCAAACTCGCTGCTCTTGACTGAGAACTTTAATAGTAGCTTTAATGAGAATCAATGTATAATTTATACAGTGAAAGTCCATGTAGTTATTTTTACATTTCTTTCTTGAATGCTAGTTAAATACACCTACTGTGGCTGAAAAAAATAAAGCACTGTTTATTTAATTTGCATATTATGTTGTGTATATGCAATGTGTATCTTTGTTCTTATTTTTTTATAACAAAGAAAATGACAAAGATTTTTATCTTCTCCACTTTGGCCTAAATGTCTGCTATTCTTTTTTATTTTATAAAGTCAATGTCCTTTCAATAACAGATTGGCGTGCATTTAATAAATTATTTAGTCAAGAACGTTGTTCAAGCTTACTGCAACAATGGAGCTGCAAACTTCACATACTTTTGAAAATGCAGAATTTTTTGATTCTGGTAAGCACTCATTGTCACAGTTTGAGGTTTTTTTTCCCCATGAGGGGGTTTGGTGTCACAACGGCTTGGTTTCCAGGCCATTATGCATGTGTATCCTCTGACACTAATTCGCTTTCCATTTTGGCCAAATTATTACCTATTACATAATTGCCATGGAGTAGTGGTAGTTCGAAGGTGTTTACAAGCTGGAGTGAACCTTTCTGGAATGATGGCTTTGGCAAGCTGTTTCGAACTCCCTAAATGAACTTTGTTTTGATTATGTTAGAAATATCACACCATGCAAAACTAACAAACGGAAAGGCATCCCACAAAATAGAGAATTGTCTGAAAAAGTTAATCTGAATAAATTTATGTGGGCAATGGCTTTAAAATATTTAACCAGCTTGTTCTGTTATGATACATTTAAAAATCCTTAGTTAAAAAAAAAAAAAAAAAATTGGCGGAAAGGTATGGGAACCTTTAAGTCACTCATTAGGTAGTCTCAGCCTCAGACGGCACGACCGCTGACTAAATGTCTGATGCATATGGCACACTTAACTGGAAACACTTCAGGATTTCCGAAGTTGTCATCTAATTGGATGAATTCTACAGGATGTCCAGGAGGTGTTGTGTTCTTTAATAAACACAGGCAGCTAGCTAGTGTAAGCAGCAAAAACAAAACAAAAAGGACTTTCAAAGACCTCCTGTTATCAGAAATCTGGACAAAGCAGAACTAAAAGACTAACACAACACTGGTCGATTTATTCTAACATCTCTGTTTATGAACTATGACATGACAAGATTCTGACTGAGGCCCATAAATCAAAGATCCACATGCGTGATATGGGACTTCACTATTAGTGAAGCATTAAAGAGAATGTGTGTATGAGTATAAGGGCGATCACACAGTGTGTGTGGGTGCGTGTGTGAGTGGATATTGATTATGGGTGGTTTGATTTGAATTGATTTTGATTTGATTAACTTTATTAATCCCACACTGGGGAAATTCCATTGTTACAGCAGCTCCAATAAGATACAAAATATAAGAATAGAATAGAGAAAAATTACAATATTAATAATAATGATAATAATAATAATAAACCAACTGTATTTACACAATAACCAACCTTTTGTAAACAGACAATCTATAAACACAAATATACAAATAAATATGCGAATAAATAGAGGTAATATTGCACAGTTGGAAGTGACACAAAGTTAATAAATGGATAAAAAATGTAGTGCAAAATATTGTCCAGTGCTACTCAAGTTCAGCATCAACTAGCAATGCTGCTTTGTGATGTTGCATTAAAGAGTCTAACTGCTACTGGGATGAAGGACCTACGGAAGCGCTCCTTCTTGCACTGAGGGTGCAGCAGTCTACTACTAAAGGAGCTGCTCAGGGAGCTCACAGTCTCATGTAGGGGGTGAGTGGTGTTGCCCATAATAGATGCCAGCCTGGCTAGCATCCTTCTCTCGCCCACCTCCTCTATGGTGTCCAGAGGACAGACCAGAACAGAGCTAGCCTTCATCACCAGTTTGATGAGTCTTTTCCAATCCCTTTCTGTGGTCCCAGCTCCCCAGCAGGCTACTGCATAAAAAATTGCAGACGCCACCACAGAGTCATAAAAAGTTTTTAACAGAGACCTGCACACACCGAAGGAACTCAGCCTCCTCAGCAGGTGGAGACGGCTTTGGCCCTTCTTGTACAGGACGTCTGTGTTTGTGGACCAGTCAAGTTTCTTGTTAAGGTGAACACACCCAGGTATTTGTAAGTCTCCACCATCTCAATGTCGACACCCTGGATGTTCACCGTTGTAGTACCCGGCGGCCTCCGTGGGAGATGCTGCTGACTAAGTGAAGGCTTT